TATTCATTACAATTAATTTCTGTTATGTAGTGCACTCTTTCTATAATTAATGAGGCTCTAAATATAAAGAGATGAAAAGGAGAATGTAAATGGCACGAGTGAAGTGAAGCCTGCACTCTTCGGCTTTTGTTAAACTATGAGGTCTAATTAACTTTTGGTATGACTGTATGACTTGCCCATGAAAAAATTAAGCTGTGTGTTTATTGTATGTGTATATATATTTATTTTTTAATTTACACACACATTTTATATAACGAGGCACTGGCTAGCAGGTTTGTGGACACTGCATATGTGTCACTTAAGTTACCTACCTGCACATGGTGAAGGGCTCCAGGGTTGATAATGGATATTAAGAAAACAAACTCATAATCTCAAGTCTTGTTATGGGTCCAGGAGCGTGGAGGCTTTGTTGAGCATTGAGTGTAATAAATGTGCAATCCTAGATCCACATCTTACCTGTTTGCTAGTCCTTATTTTTAGAATCTGCTGTGTATGGGCCTTCATGTATGTGAGTTGACAGATGCTCATGCCTCTCTCTCTCTTCTTCTTTCTGATTTGGTAGCTTGCTGCTGGGTGAAAAAGCTGAGTGTAGCACAGTGAAATGTAGGTGATAACTGCTGTGGAACTTCTTCCTTTGCTGCTGCTGTATTATTCATCTGCTCTGTGTACAGGGTTAAACTGAATATTCATTAATGCAGAAGTGCAGGGGCTAGCCATTTTGGCTGGGTCTGGCTGGTGGGTAATGGTTGGCTGATGCAACAAAGTGTGTGTATTTTGGGGGGGGGGGGGCTGCTGCTGAAAGAGAGAACCACGAGGTTGCAGCGAAGGGGAGAAGAGGGGGTGTGTGGCTAGAGACTTTGCTGAAGCTATCTGATGCTTTTCTGCCAGAGAATGCTGATCAAGGAATAATGCTGCCATCATGCTCTGTGCAATGCTACATGTGAAGTGAACCTGCGTGGCAGTATGCAGAGACCTGTGCTGCACCAACCTATAGTGAGTACTGGGATCTCCTCTGCACCTGTTTGTTGCTGTGTGTCAGAAGCCTGTGCCCCAGGGGCTACCTTTGCTTGTCTGGACTGAGCTGAGGGACAGGCTGCTGCTGAAAGCAAGGACAGAGCAGGGGCGGACTGACAACTCATGGGGCTCCCGGGCAGTAGGGGATCATGGGGCCCTTGTGTCCCTGCCCAAACTCAAAAAAGCCTATGAAAAAGGTACCAGGGGCATCTCATGGGGCCCCCTACTGAACCCGGGCCCTCGGGCAGTGCCCGAGTTTCCAAATGGTCAGTCCGCCCCTGGGACAGAGACACTAGCTGCTTGTACACATGCTGTAATATAGAGACTCTGTGAGTTGTCTACCACCAGGAAATGAGTTTGTGGAATGGGGACCAGGACTGACTGTGTAGAGAACAGTGACCTATGTACAAAGGCCCCACCAGAGACTTGCTGTTAGAGACTTCTGAATTGCAGCTGTTGCTGGATGAATAGTTCCCTGCTATAGCTGAGCATAATCATGTGAGAACTCTTCATGGAATGGTGTGATTTGGAAGCCTTGGGAGATCAGACTGTACTAGAAAGCACTCCCACCACTTATAGGGAAGGTAAAGACAGACTCAGCAGGATTGAAAGAGAGAGATAATCAGCAACTGAATCAGAGCATGTGTTCGAAGATTCAGAAGAGGGTTCTCTGGTTGAGCCACACTTTGCCCCCCTCCCCAACTGCTCCCCTTTAAGCTGCAAAGACAGAGGTCAGGGATGTACCTATGTCCTGCTTTGCAGTTTGATGCAGCAAAATCTATATTCCTTTTAACGTTCAGCGGACAGTTCAGCTCCCCACTGCATCGCAGTGCTGTGGAGTTTTAGTGGTTAAAACAGATGGTGAGAAGGCAACATAACGCTTCCTCACCACCTGTGAAACACCTCCAAAAAGCATTCCACCATGGATCACTCATCAGAGCGCAACAGAAATGTAAAAGAAGCCCTTTAAACCTTGTGGTTGTGGGGGGGGGCACAGCAAAAATACAAGATTTGAGCTGTGTTTTTACTGAAACCGAACTGTTCCACTTAAGCTGTAAAGGCAGCAGAGTACACATGCTGCAGCACAAGTAGTTTGCATCACAGCACAGAAGATATTGTCCCCCCTGTTGAGTTTGACAGTAAGCAATGCCCGCCCAATGTGGACCAATCAACTGAACGGGGGCTTCCTGCAACTATGCGCAATGCACGTAGTTGTAGGGCACTAGTGAAAGTTTAAACAGGCAGTGAGGGCTCCAGTCTATTAAACCCCTCCCAGACCATCTTTTGGGCACACCTGCCCAGGCATTGGCAAGGGCATAGTAAATATGAAATCCAGTTATTTGAATTTAATGCCTAAGCTCTGGAAGCTTCTCCCAGAGGCAGGGGGAAACAATGAACAGACCAACGCAAATGGTCGCTGCTCCTCTGATTACAGAGCAAGCCATATGTATATCTATAGTGTGATCAACAGAACAACCCATCCTTGTGCTCATGCCCCTGTACAGACTACAGTTTTTCACAGTTCATTAAAAAAAAATGGAGCACTGTCTCTTCAAGGACTTCTAGTTTCTGTCTTGCATATTCTCCACTGTAAAGAATCAGCTTCAATCAGGAAAGCATTAAAGTCAATCTAAAGCTTCAATTTTTTTTAACCACCACCAGTCTGGACCAATTCTGAAATTAATTTCATGTAAAAATCAGCATTTTTTTTTCTACAAAATTAATTAGAATCCCAATGTAGCAAGCGTACACACAGAGATGGACTTTTTAGGGAATCACCAGCTCTAAAATATATCTTGATCATTGCTACAGCGATGACCGCAATATCACCACTGCCATTCCAGGATGTATATAAACGTACAGTGGGCATGAAGCAGTTAAATAACAAACATGTTATACTTAACTGCTCTGTGCAGTGCTTTTGCACAGAGCAGCCCTAAATATCCTTTTCTGGGGTCACTCCTGGCTACTCCTTTTTCTTGACTAGTGCCTTCATAGCAAGCCACTTGCTCTGGAGGCACTCGTGCGGGCTTGATCGCAAGCCAGGATGTGTATGTCCATTGACACACACAGCATGGCTCAGCTTCTCCCCCTCTCCCTTATCACAGGATTTAATTGACAGCTGCTGCCTCCGTGTCAAGTGAGGAGAGAGAGAGCAGTGCTGATTCTCTTGGGCTCAGGTAAGCATTTAGGGGGCTGATCCCACAAGGTTTTTTATCTTCTTGCAGAGAATGCAACCACTTTAAGGATGCTCTTCTTAGAAATACTCAATGTGTGCACCTAGAAGTTCCCTGCTGCATTTGATCCCACCTGTTCCCTAGTTGGAGCCTTCCTAACACATGGGTAGAGACGCCCTCTGTATGCCAGGATTGAGCCCTAGTCTTATCTCTAATTGCCCTGCATACACCTACCCAATTAGTTTGCTGGTTGTTTGCAAAACCTGGACCAAAGATTGGAGACTCTCAAGTCTCTACAAAGTCCTCGGACTCCAGGTCACAAAGAGGGTTTTACCAACTTCTTAGGAAACTGAATGAAAATAATGCTTGAAATAATTCTTGAAATGGTTCTAAAGGTTCTAAAGGCAAAAGGTTTTTTACCTTAATGCATTTTATGCATAAGGTAAAAAAAAAAAATCCTTCTGGGTGCAGCTTCCCCCTCAGCCCCTCCTATACTTACCTGAGCCCCATTTTGATTCAGCCATGTTCATGAGAGCTGGGTCTCTCCCAGGTCTCTCACTCCTCATTGGCTCAAACAGCAGTGGGAGTCCTTGGCTCCTGCTGCTGTCAATCACAGCCAGTGAGCCAATAAAGAGGGAGCGGGGTGTGAGGTCAAGCCTACTTGAGTGCCCCAATGGCAAGCACTCGGCAAGGGGGAGGAGCCAAGACTCATTGGCTCAAACAGCAGTAGGAGTCATTGGCTCCTGCTGCTGTCAATCACAGCCAGTGAGCCAATAATGAGGGGAGTGAGGTCAAGCCTACTTGAGTGCCCCAATGGCAAGCACTCGGCAAGGGGGAAGAGCCAAGACCCAAAAAGAAGAGGATTGGGGCTGCTCTATGCAAAACCATTGCACAGAGCAGGTACGTATAACATGTTATTAAAAAAAAAACCTTTAGAATCACTTTAATAAGTAAAGCTGGCGATACACGTATAGATTTTCATTCGAGAATTTTCACTTACAGAATATTTGTTTGATTTTCTAATAATTAGACGGGTTGTTAAATCAATGTTAATTTTCAACAGCAGTGATGGGAAAATTCAAAGGGGCAGGAAGGAAAACTATTCTTGATCAAATGAATTTTCGACTAGTGTATGTGGTTGTTGTTCAGGAATTACATTCATTTTAAAGTCAAATGTTAAAAGCAAAAGACAATTTTCGAATGACATTCTTCCATTCATGGAATATTACTCGACAATCACCGGGTGCCGGCAAGTAATCACCGGCTAGGACCTGGTGATTGACAGCCGAGGCCACGAAAGGCAGCGCAGGCAGGGTGCACTCGCGGCTCACATGCGCCCCCTACCCGGAACTGCAAAAGACACAAATATATACCTGATTTTGTGCACCCGTGCCACTCAGTAGCAATATTTCTGCTTTAGGGTGGATGGAAAGCAGTTAATTCCCTTCTCCTTTATTAAGCTTTTATTTGATTTTCCAATACAAAAAGGACAACAACGCAATTGAAAAAATATTGCACATATACATATTTCCATTTATCCAAATATTAACCCCACCCACCCGTCCACCCTCCTTCCAACCCATTTCCCCATCCACGTCCTCTTTCCTGATCTATATCTTCTCTCATAATTATAGATCATCAGTGATCTAGTCCAGGTATATTTATTGCCTTTATTGACTCATCTATCTGTATACTTTAAAGCGGAGCTCCACCCAAAAAGGGGAAGTTACGCTTTAAAGACTGGTCCAACGCTCCCCAATAAGGATTGGCACCTTTGGGGAGGAGGGGACAGGTACCCGAATTTGACAGGTACCCACTCCCACTTCCTCTCATAGCGCCAAGCCGATCGGAAGTGGAAGGTGTCCTCCCTTCCTCCCTCCCCGTAGTCTTTTGGGACACGTGACAGGTCCCAGAAGACTACAGGACTATTCAGGAAGCGCAGTGCTACTCCCGCATGCGCAGTGGGTACCCAGCTGTGAAGCCGCAAGCTATCACAGCCGGGTGCCCACACTGAAGATGCCGGCGCCCAAGGAGAGAAGACGGCCAGTAAAAGGGGCTGTAGGGGGAAACACCGCAGGACCGAGGGACAGTTGAGTGTGTGTTTTTTAAAAAAGTCAGTAGCTACAGTTTTTGTAGCTGCTGACATTTATTTTTTGACAGCGTGAGTGGAACTCCGCTTTAAGTGGATTATAGATTTCATCTAGGACAAGGCTGTTTTTTTTATATTTTTGCCTCTCCCCATATGGATATCTCCCTATGTTTCAGATGTCTGAGTTGATCTAAGTGCTTGATAGAGGGGTGTGTTACTATTTTCAATTCCCTATTGACCTCCATTAGACAATTTTATGTGAGTTCCTTTTCTCTTTTTTCACATATATTATATAGAATGCCAATAGATTTAATATATCTAGTCTATGGTTTTTATGATCATGTTTAGCATTCATTCACTCATTTGGACCACTGAGGAGTCTGTTTGCATAAATGATGCCTAGAATTAACCAGCAAGGATCCTTTGAATTTCTGTTTTTATGAATGGCGATGTGAATCACTCTTCATATGGTGTGTGTGGTTTTTTTTCTGTCTTCACTGAATTACTTTATTTTTTTCTAGAATACTGTTTATGGCATCTCACCTTTCTCCCTGAAGAAGGTTCAAATTATAAATTCAGTGAATTGAAACGCGTTGGGGTTTTTCTCTTTGGTGATATATAGCCTAATCATCGCCATCCACATCCAAATTATGTTTTGTGTTTTGGGTCTATATTTTTTCCTTGATGTACTATGTTCAATAAATTTGTATATTTTTATAGAAGATCTTTTTTTCTTTTTGTAGTTTTGGTGCTTAAAAAGTACCTTTTTCTTCTCTGTATGTTTTTTATGGCTCTGCAATTTTGGGATAAGCACCTTGTATGTTTAACACATTTGACCAGCACTATATATTTTCCAATTAATTTACATGTATTGGGATTTTTTTTTTAGCAAAGACATGTAGCAGAATACATTTTGGCCTAAATTTATGCCGAAATGTGATTTTTTAACTTTTTTTACTGGACATAATAGCATAAAAGTAAAAAAATATTGTTTTTTTTTCTCAAAATTGTCGGTCTTTTTTTTTATAGCGCAAAAAATAAAAATGCACATGCAATCAAATACCACCAAAAGAAAGCTTAATTCGTGGGAAAAAAAGAACGTAAATTTAATTTGGGTGCAGCATTGCATGACCGTGCAATTGTCAGTTAAAATAATGCAGCGCCGTAACGCAAAAAAGGGCCTGGTCAGGAAGGGGGTTAAATCCACTGGAGGGCAACTGGTTAACCTGTAGCTAAAGTACACTGTAATACTACATAACAAATTTGGCCCATACAAGGCTGAGCACACCTCAGTCTCTGATTATAGTATTGCAGATCTATGTACACATTCAGTTGTTATACTGTATGATCCTGATAACATACTAAACTTGTCCATACTTTGTGTAGTATGGTGTACAAATAAAAATATAAAAAATGAAATTCCTATTGCAGGGGGTGCCTAACATTTGACTTTTATAGTTTTGTTTACTTATAGAATTTTACTTTTTTCTTACTGCAGACTTCTGGGAAATCAGTGAGCTAATCACTCAAGCAGGACATTACATTTTTGTGGGCGAACTGTACACCAATGGTATACAGAATGCCTCCAGGTTGCCAGATTGCATTGGATTTTTTCAGAAGATTACAGCGGCTGCAGATTGAAAAGGAAAGATAATTTTTAGTAACAATAAATTACAACATGGATTGTGTAGCAATTGTATGTGCTATAATAATTGTTTCTTTTTTTTGCTATTTTTTTTCCCATGAAAGTGAAGTTACCTATTTAATTTTCTTTTTCATTGCACATACAGTATGGTGATGGTGGAACTTTCTCTGATCACTGACACAGAATAAAAATGTAGTTCAGTGATTGTGACGTCATGTATGTGCAGGGGGTGCACTCCAGTCATTCTTTCACTGAAGGATTTATCTCAGCAACATTCCTAAAGTCAATGAGGCTACAAATTCAACTGACTGAGGCATTGATTAAATAAACAAGGTTTTATTTTTACAGGTACTGAACGCAATTAAGAAAGCTTGTGGAAAAATAAAAATGGGTTGATTTAAAGCTGAAGTTTAGTCATTTTGGTGGGATGCAGCAGAGCACACAATACACATTAGTTATGTGTAATGTTGTGTATCGCATTACCTGCAGATTGCTGCTTCTGCTAAAAGTCATCCTTTAAATGTGTCCCTCACAGCCGCTGGATACTGCCCTGAGCCATTCAAAAGACTTGTATTACTACATGCCCACAATGCTTAGCATTCTGTGATCACAAGGAAGAGTTCCTGTCATTCAACTGCTACCCCTCCCTTCACGGAATGTGATGCACTGTGGGAGTGTAGTAATGTGAATGTGAATGGCAGGGAAGGCAGAAGAGGAAGGCTGGATGGATGGTGCAACTGTTCTCAGTAGCAGCGGCTGCTGTTACACTTCAGTGTTGAAAGCCAGCTGCTCAGGGCAATATTCAGTGGCTGCGGAGGAGACACTGCAGGGATGATTTTTACCAGAATGAGCAATCTGCAGGTAATGGGATATGTAAAGTGTATGTCTGAGCAAAATAAAAAAAAATACATATGAAATATTTCTGCAATATATGCACATTTCCACCTGTTCTGCCTCTAAAAAAAGCTGCAAGTACAGAATAATACCTGTTGATCATGACAGAAATTCAGTCAGTTCCTAACTTTTTATAATACGTTTACAACGCTGCCTCTGCTACACCAAAATCCTAAGAAATAATTTCAGCCCTACCTTAGGTTTCCTGTTCGGGGCCACAGAGCACCATCTCCTCTCTCCTCATCTTCAAAGCTTAAGTTGGAGGTGTTCTGTAGTCCACCAGGAGAGAACCGAGTCTGGGCTGATAATACTGCTTGGGAGTTCAGCACCTCAAAGGCACTGTTGTGAGCTTACTGAAGGAAATTTGAAGTTCAATGGATTTCTGTACTTGCTGTGTTTTTAATGACATAAAACATCAGTAAATGTGCATGTATTGCAGAGAAGTACTAAATACCTATTTTGTTTTATTTTGCTTAGGCATTCACTTTAAATTTTCACGGTGTAAAACAAAGTTAGGCAACTTTTATCTCTGTCAAATTCCTCTGTGTCAGTTTACTGATTTCCCGAATTATACTCTTGACATTGGTTCCAGATTTTGAAGCAAGAAGAGATGTTTTGTTAAAGGGAAAAATAAGAAGGAAACCACCAACATGGGCAGGAGGCATTTCATCTAGTTCAGATATGTAGTATAAAGGAAATAGAGGATATTCCACAGATTTCCATTGTGCAGTCCTTGGTGTTTGATTTGTTTCACAGTTTGCCTTTAAAGTGATGAGTGCTGATGGGACTTTTGAAACTGCTTGTCTTGGGGAGGTATTCATTCTTTCTCGTAACCTTGAGGTCAAGGTTTTTCGTGGACATATACTTGCTTTTCCACCTGTTACCATTTCTTTGTTCACTGGATCATCCTTGGGTTGTGTAGAAGCCTTTTCCTCTGAGTTACAGATGCAAGAATCCCCAAAGTTGTCCCTAGTTAGTGCTTTTGTTTCTTCATTGCTCTCCAATACAGATTTACAAGATGAAGAGCTGGTGGGCTGATCACAGTTTTCTTTACAGTGACTAATTCTCATTGGGTTGCACTTTTTAAACTCTTTAGAATTGTGTAAGCTTGTATTACTTTTATGCAATGTTTGTAGTTTTGGAGAATGCAAAACTGGAGGAGATGCTTTAACCCTTTTGCTGTTGTATCTTTGTAGGTCAGATGACTTGTAGTTGAGAAGATCAATAATATCATTAATCAGTCTTTTCTTTACTTTTATATCATTTGGGCAATCTAAAGACAGTGCAGGACTGTAGTTTACTTCTAAAAGCCATGGCTTTAGAGTATCATCAATAAGGATATCAAATCCAAAAAGTTCAAAGCAGTTGGGGTACTGAGGTACAGATGGAGCAATGGCTAGCAGGGTCATTGTCACGATATTATATATTCTTTGCCAAAGTAATACATCATCCACTTCGATGCTACGAAGATATGACCTAAACTGACCAAGTGTCCATTTACAACCGGTCCCTACCCTTTCCTTATCTGACAAGTAGGAGGTGCTGTACTTATTAATGCTTGTGTTTGTTAGGTGAGCAAATATGTTATCAAGTGACCCGAGACTGAACTTTTCTGTTGCAAATCTGACCAAACCTTCCTGGTATACATATATGGTCAATGGACAGAAACAGGTCACACAAACATAAATCCTTAGGTCGAATTTGTAGCCAGAGATTAGCAGAGGGTTTGTGATATATTTCTGTACAATTACAGTACAGTCATATGCTAAGTCCTTGATGTCTTGAAAAACAAATATCCCTCTCCCCCTAGACATGTCAGTAGGTTTGCAGATCCAATAGCTTGCCTTTTTACTATGCCTTTCTTTTGAATATTCAGCTAAGAACTTTGTATAGTCATTGGGTAAAATAAAGGCCATAGGACTGAACTGATAATAGGAAGACCCATAGATTCCTTTCATGCGTTTTAAATGTCTTGCCAAACAATCCTTCTTTATCATTTGTGCTGTCCCTGGATGATGGTTAAGCCGTTGCCATGGTTTTATGTTGTTATGATCAGAAGTACGGAATGCTGAGGTTCTCCAGTGTAAGTTCCACTCTGCTTCACCTTGCTGCTCTTCATCAAATTCATCCCAACCACGTTCTAGCAACACTTCACGTACAACTTTGGGAGTACTCTCATGGAGACGAAATATCAGAGTTTCCGATATGTTGCTATCATCATCTTCACTTGCCATAGTACTGAAGAAGGATACATAACCTACATAACGTTTGTTAACTGCAAAAGAATACAGACATATTTTAAATTATGTCAAGTACCAAGTTAAAAAAAATCATCGACAATTAATATTAGGTATAAAAAAGTTTCATAGCCTCTCCAATTTGTCTTTGTGATGCTATAGGCAGTGAAATGGTAAAGATAATGAATACTCATATCTGCTTTCACTACCA